TATCATGTTGAGGACATATTCCTATGCTCATGTAGACTTGTTCCCTTTGGGTCTTGATATCAAAGCCATTGAGAATTGCATGGCCTTTTGTTGTTGGATAGAGACCCGTCAAAATACTGAGAAGCGTTGTTTTGCCTAAAGGAGAAACGAAATTATTATCAAAATCAAGTAAACATGTAAAGCCTCTCTCTCTTCCCATTATACGCACCAGCGTTAGTTCAAAATCATGTTTTATTCGACAGCGAACGTTACATCCTTGATAGCCAACTTTCCGTTCAGGTATTTTTTGCGTATTCTCTTTATGTCAGTCCTGTTTTGTCTCGCCTATTCCGAGCAGCTTTCTGAATAACGTACTAAATACAAAATACCATAGTTTTCCTTTATCCACGTAACATAAAGTACCCATCATCTGATCCGTGCGTGTAAATCCATCCGAATTATTTTTCTTGCCGAGACTGTCTGTTTTGCCATTATATACTTTATTGCCATGTCTTGCCTGAGTGCAACGCAAGTTCGTACATCACTTATTATCTAAATTTATGGAAGAGCAGACTATCCAGTTATTAACTGTATATAATACAGTAATAATAATAACGCACTCACTAGCGATTTTGGGCTAGCTATAATTAGATGTGTTCACCTAGTGCTAGCATCAGTTTTGTCGATCAACGAACAATTGACTATCCCTTTATGGTAAATCTCACTATATTGTTGGTGGGTAATAGTATAACGTGTCCACATCAGATTTCACACACGTTCGTTCCCACCACACCTCGGGATTGTGTGAGTACACAAACAGAATCGGTATGCCCACAAAGCTTTATAACAACTTTCTGCGTCAACAATATACGAAATAGAATACTAATATTACCAAGTGCAGTACTCATGCTAGTCAGTTTAAGGCATTAATATCGTTTATTTTGTCATGTTGAGCAGATGTTTACATCGACATTGATATGTATCGATCAAAAAGTGGTTAAGTAGAGATACAATGTTTATCATTTGTCATCATTGACAGATGACAAGAAACCGTGGAATTACAGCCTGCCATGCAATAATAAATATGTTACATATTACGTATAATTCAATTTTATTTTTTTTTATTTTATAATACTTACGTTGTCGTAGCGAACAATGCTAACACCACCATTATTAAGTGTTGCGACAACGTCGACAACAAAAATAGCTTTCATCGTGGGACCCGCCCCGCCACAATATCCGATTGACACGCTCGGACAGCTTGCAAACCACATATCTAATAATTAATTGTAGTGCACCTTAACATGCATGGATCAATTTGAAATAAAACATTATGACCATTAATTATGTTACTGACCTCCATTATGACGCGAATACATACTACGGTTTCCCTCTCTAATAATACCACACACGCCACACCCAGACATGCAATTGGGTTCCAATCTGTTCAGTAACGATGCGAGACTACAGACCCCCCTAGTGCCATGATACATCTGATTGACTATCTGGTTGGATTTTCGGAGGTACTCGGAAAACGCAACGGTTTTTTCCCGGGGCATTTGTATCCTCAAAATGGCTCGTATGGACGATGTAGGCACTCTTTGTTGAAAAATAGCCGAGATTGTATTATAATCAGCATCTCCTGCATCTATCCGGGTGAGTTTGGTCTTTACCAATTCTTTGTCGTGGACGTCGGCTGAACAGTGGATGTGATCGAGTTGAGTGCTTAATTGATCAATTGAAGCAAACAAATCGCAATTGCGTCGAGAACATTTGGTGGGATGTCTGGCACAAGTACACTTTTTTGAGTGGACCTTTTCAGTCGCGTTTGATTGATTCTGATCGTTTCTGGTATGACCGGACGTTGATACAGCATCCATGGCTGCACATTGGATACTGCAGTACTTGGGGGTTTTATCGTTTATACTTAATTTTTTCAACATGCTTGTCAAGGTGCGTCAAGGCTAAGGCAGTTTGACGCAGGGGGTCGTAATATATATATCTGTAATCATGGTTACCCATCATAAAACGCTCGCTCTTTTAGCGTGGAGTTAATGATGTCAAGTTGACACATTCGATACATATTACATATTAACATGCAGAAGTACTGTAATATTTAACTTGATAGAAATTTTCTGTTTGGTGGTAATTGTTGAATGGACAGCATATTTAATTTATTTATGTAATATTAAATATCCTTATCTAAATCATCTTGCGGCTCTATGGTAAATATAAATATCTGTGGATGACATTGACAGCTTCTATTAAGTACATACAGTAAGCATATACAAATTCAATAGTACTTTAACGTTAAACTTTAAATGTCTCAAAACGTGGGGAGAGAAATGGAGCGTAGTGATGACTGTATTCCATGATATTCCTATAATAGCCTCTCCTTAAGCCTGAAGGCCATAGCTGTTAGAAGCACCAAATTCAACAGAAGATTATTTCTTGGATGAAATCTATTGTAGCAGCAACATTGTCATGAGAACCACATTGTTCTCACGATGATTCCAAATTTAGTATCGTTCAAATTTACTAGAATAAATAAATACATAAAAAGGTGAATATACATTAATATTCGAATCTTTTATCATTATGCCTAATTACTTTGATAGCAAGAAGGTATCTCAAGTATAGTAATAGGTTACGCCAAACTTTAATCTATGAAACTTTGCATTGATAACTAATTTACTTCTGACGATTGTGGGCAAAGAAATTGTTATCGTGGATTGTGTGGCATTAACTAACGAAACACCTAGACAATTTCGAATGTTTATTTCTACATAATCTCTTTTTTTTTGACAATCACAGACGGAATACGTGTATTTATCATGAGACACACTGTTATATACTTATGTTTAGCACGACATGAATTTTATGACTCCCCTCTCGAGAAGAGTAATGACATAGTTGATAACACCGCCTGCTTATTCATTCGGATATAATCATGTATTAGTATACAGTTTTCCGGTTTTGGGAATATGGTTGTGACACAAGCGTTGAGAACGAGTTGAAAAATTTTTTGTCAATTCAAACTATGTCGTTAGCATCAGGGATGGTTAATAATCCAGCAATTGACAACTTGGTTCAATCCTCCTTGGAAAGTGAATGTAACCCAGTACTTGAATGGGTTCCTTATGAGAAAGTCACCAACATAGAGCCAACTCAATTTGACAACGTCCACTATGCTATTAGTTACGACGTTAACATAATACTGGTAGTCCTTGGAAGTAGCGGAGAATGTACACCAACGTTTGTGAGTGAGTTTGCCAGATTG